ATGATCACAATTCTGCTTTTGTTTTGTCTGATGTGCTTTTGAGAAAGCTACGAGTCCTATTACGTGTGTAGAGTGTGTTTTCAAGCCGTTGGTATCATTGATCGAAGGATCAGAGGTCAGTATAACATCTTTGCGCATTCATAGGCAGTTGTTTCAAAGGCCATCGTTCTTGTTTACTAGGTGTACCCTTTGATTCAACGGGAATGGCGGCTGAAAGGCGTTCGCTCGCGCCGGCGATGCAGTCCGCGTCTCTCTCGCAAGCTTGCTCTCTGACCATTCCCTAGCTTTGATTAGCCCTCGACTATTGATAGTTTTAATAGTTTCTGGAGAGGGATTCGTGCATTGCAAACATAACACTTTAGAGTTCTATTTTTGCTGCTGCTATTTTCAAGGCATGAAAAGTCGACATGCTAGTAAGCGAAAAAATAGATGATTCCGTTGGCAATATATAAAAAACCCATTATGCTGCGGAAACCTTGAAACCAACCTTCTCCCACTTCTGCTCACGATTCTTCACTTCTCTTCTAAAGTCGTCATGCTGCTGCCTCTCACGATCACGCTCGGCTTCACGTTCCAAAGCCTCACTTTCCAAGCGACGCACTTGCTCAGCATCTCGCTCCTTAAATAGAAAAAATTAGTATAAGACATTAAAACTATCAATAAGTCACCTTCTCCTTCTTTGCTTTTGATCTATCTTCTGCAGCTTTTTTCTTGACTAGGTCTAGTTCCTTTTTGAGAGATTTCACCTTATCTTCCAGGTCAAACTTCTCAGCTTCAAGGGTACCTATGCGTGTCCTAAAAGGTGAATGGTCCTACTCATTACTTATTTATTTCCAAAGAAGCATCCACACTCATAAAATGAGATACCCTCAACATGTAGCGTTATCTTATCTGTAACTAGCTACACCGACAACTCACTCGTCCTGCTTGTTCTTCTTCTCGATCTTCTTTAGGTTATTTCGCGCTTCTTTCAACTGAGCAGTAAGTTGTTCTGTTTTCGCCGTCTCTTCTTTGAGCTTGGATGACTCAGTTAGACGGAGCTGTTCTGCTTTCTTTTTGTGCTCCTGTTCCTTGGCCAGATCTGCTTTTGCCTGTTTCAGTGCTGCTTCCATCTCAGCCAATTTCTCCTCATTTCTCTTCATTTGCTCAGCTGCTCTAAACTCGAAGCAATGATAGTTTTCTCATCTCCCACCAATTCACTTTCCCACCTCATGGCATCCGGCCCCTGGATGATTTGTTGAACCTCTCTAGCCTGAGCTACCATGGTTTCCATACGGTCACCGGTCACCTGAAGGTTGCGCATTATATGTAACAAAAAAATGAAAACGACTTTGCAAACTACAATAATCTAGTTGTATAACGCGCTTATTCATCTCTGTTCAGTCAATCACTGAGGAATGATTTACCTTAATTGAAAGCACTAAGGTCTCATAGTGATAGGGGTACAAGTTGGTTCAGAACTCATTCGCGCTCTGTCAAACTCTACATATTAAAAAAGAGCATATGTAAGCTCTCGAGCTTTGCAAAGCAAAGACGCAGTTGATTCGATAAGTGAACAACGAAGTGAACGATGAGTTCCCCAAAAAAATCACAAAAACTGTCATTTGTTGCTATTTCGGATTTGCAAGTATTACTTCGGCTAATAACTATGCAACTCGCTTCATGGCACGGCTGCTCCGTAAGCATGGAAGCGTAGAGAAAAGTTTGCCGGTAGAGTGTCCTACTAGCGTAACTCACAACTCTTTACATAGACACATATCCTTGAACAATAAAACATCCTAGTGCTGCATCATGCAAAGTTGCTTCACAGTTAAAGGCAGTGTCCGCGCAGATTTGGAGCTCCGCAGTTTACTGAAGCGGGCTCCTCATGCAGACCATAGCCC